CCGTCTTTGAATGGCTTTCCTGACTTAGCAATCATTTCACTCACCACATAGCTAGCTTCGACTGCTGCATCACTCTCTTTGCTTGCCTTTTTTAAAAAATCTTGTTGCCTCAGTAGACATGTTTTAAGTTTGCAGACCCGGTCCTCTCTCTCATCTCCTTGGTATTTTGCATACTCCTCAGCATGTTTAGTTGAGTAATGACGTCTGATGTTATACTCCTTGTGAACCGCAACTTTATCTGTGCATATTAGGCATGTCGGGATGCCTCTGAGCTCAACTAAAAAATATTCCGTCTCCCACTTCTCCTGAAATTGTCTGTTTTCGTCGCCAACCTTTCTCTTCACGACAGGTTTTGAAAAAGACATGACTAGGGCTGGGTGACCTCCACTCACGGTCARTTCCGAAACACGTTTCATGTGACCAACGCTGCTAACTCGTGTTGTTGTCGCGAGGCTGACCTACGGCAGCCCACAAGTGTCAAAATATGTAAAACGCACAGGGCAATGACTCATGCAGGYGCCCGTGGGCCGCAATAACACTAAGTTACCTGAAGATGGTCTAACTCCTTGTTTAAACATGTGAATAGGCTGTTACAATAAAAAAAAACTGGAGAAGACTGAAGAAGTCTCTTGGAGGAGAGACGAAACGTTTCATTAGAGAAGAACCCATCCAGAAGACCTATACAATTTTTTTTTTGATTTTTTTTTTTTTTACCTGGATTACTGAGATGCATCAGGACGCTGTTACAATAGTCCAAACGAGAAGAAATAAATGCATGAATGACCATTTCAAGTTCAGCTTTTGACAAGAAATGTTTCAATTTTGAGATATTCCTAAGATGAAAGTAACAGTTTCTGGTCAGTTTCTTTGTGTGTTGTTTCAGAGACATTGCAGAATCAAAAAATGACACCCAGGTTTCTGAGGCTGGACTGAACAGGATGGACCTAAGACACCAGTTCAATCAATCTGAGCAACCTTATTTTTCGCTGCAGTAATCAGAGTTTCAGTTTTATTGGAGTTTAGTTGTAGATAATTGTTGCTTAGCCACTGTTTGATGCAAACTAAACAGTTTGTTAGGGACTCTAATTTATGAAACTCACTTTCTTTAAATGAGCAATAAAGTTGGATATCATCAGCATAGAGTTGAAATTTCACATTTTTTAATTGCTGGATTACCTGCCCAGGGGGGAGAATATAGAGAATAAACAGAAAAGGTCCTAAAACAGAACCCTGGGGTACACCACAAGTTAGGCTGGTGGTATTGGACATGATGCCTTTTACAGAAACATTAAAACTTCGGTCAGATGAGAAATACTCAAGAACAGAACCAGTTTACCCTATATGATTTCTAAGTCTATTGATAAAGATTCTATGATCAACAGTATCAAAAGCAGAAGACAGGTCCAGTAAGACCAGAACTGTGTGTAGTGCTCTGAATTGGCTGTCAAAATGTCACTGGAAACCTTTAATGAGGTTGTTTCTGTGGAGTGAGCTTTGCGAAAACCTGATTGAAATTTAACCGAAATATCATATTTTTCTAAAAAGGTGGACAATTGYTCTCTTACAACTAGAGATCGACGATACAGGTTTTTGAAGACCGATACCGATTTTTTTAAACATCAGTCTAACCGATACGCCGATACGTGCAGCCGATATTTTTTGGCCGATTCTTGAAGCTGATACTGCTTTTTCTTCCTCCATTAACATGATAAAAATAAGAATGATAACAAATGTTACACAAGTCTTAATTTAAAACAAAAAAAATAAACAAATTAAAAAAACATTTATTAACTAAGCCTTGTCTGATGCAGGCTGTATTGAGTGCTACCACACAGGGT